ACTAAAAATTATGGTTTGTCTGAGCAATAACAATTTTATAGAGAGTAATTTACATTTAACTTTGCACTTTTTCGAGGGGTGGTGGATAAAATAGGGAAGATGACATGCTAAGAGAAAATGTGTCATGTAAGTCACACTTGGGAAATTCAGGATTTTTAAAAAATATTGCCTTGTAGAATTAAGAACTTAAAACTTATATACTATTAAAATATGGATTATTAGCTAAGATTTTATACTATTCTAATTGATATAACATGAACAAAAAGTATTTTAATAAACTTTTGAATGTAAGACACTAAAACATTGTGTCATGTACAGTAAAGGTTACCCATGGTGATAGGGTTAATTGCCATTATTTTTTTCTACTTGGCATACATACTGTCAACAATTTTTTTTTGTTAAATAAAAACAACCCACAAACACAAATTTCTTACAATAACCATAATTTAGATCTTAATGGATAGTTTTGAGCTTCACAGTTTTCTCTATAAGATAATTAAAACAAACCACCTATCTATTTACATTATTGTGTTGTCACAACGATTTACTTAAAAGTAAAAATGATCTATTAAAATACTAAAGAATGAATTCCTCAATAAAAGCAAAGATGACTTTACTAACATATCTGAAAATCTTTAAAACTTATAAAGATATATAAAATATTTTAATTTTTAAAGAATAATATAAATTCAAGAGAATCATACTTATATACTTACATCATCTTTTAAAACTTTTAGTTCTACAGCTTTATCAATCCATTCCATAGCACTAGTATAGTTGCCTTCTCCAATAAATGTCTATTAAATGAAAATAATACCTTTAGTTAAAGTAAACTTTTTCTGAATTCAGTAAACACTAAAAAGAGAATATCATTAATTTAATAACTAATTAGTTGAGGTTGTCTTTTTATTTTTTACACATTCTTATTGTTGTTTTCATGTACTTAATGTGTGCCTCATTAAATACAACTGAAAGCATTATGTACATGTGGAGCGAGTTTACCTATATGCAAAAAATGGTTCAAGAAAGAAAAGTTTATATGGAATTTTATCTATTAAAAATTATCATTTTGGAAAAACTAAATTGTTTAGATAAATTAGTTTGTTAATTTTAAAGTTTCACGAGTCTTTATTTCTTCTTTTAGAAAGTATTATTATATTATTCCAGCAATGAGCCTAATCACAACAGCACTACACTACTGAATGATCATGAATTTGCTATGAATCAGATATACAGGAGTCATATATGTTGACCTATGGCATAAGAGCTTTTAGTTATGGCAACATGCCACTTAATCAGCATATACAAGTCTTTAAGAGAGCAATCAACCCTTTGCATTCCTTTTAATGATTGCTATCTAACCAAAAGCCTAACAATCATCATAGGAGCAAATCTGTTTTTTTACACTAAATAATCTCTGGAAATTGCATCATTAATTCATATGTGGTTTGACAGATATTGGAATGTGCATGCAAGTTAAATTGACTTTAGTGTGGTATTGAACCTCTTTTTCTGAAACCAGTACTGAAGCTTTACAAGTACATGATAGGTCCACATACAAAAAAAATAAATGATATTAACCAATGAAAAGGACAAAAAAATGAGGTCAAATATATTCTGAAAATCTGCAAAGACAATTCTATCTTGAAAAGATTACTGGACATTCTTAAACTCATTGACAGTCACATTTTGGAATTTTACAGCCTTCCTTATAGCCACTAATTTTCCCTTAACACTAATTACTTTGGCATTCAACTTAAATTAGTAAAAGAATCACTATCATGTAAATTGAAGAGAATGATAATCTGATCACCCTCAAGCCATCTCATATGAAAGTATTGAAGACTTTTTCAGGTAAACTGAAAACAATATATGGCTCAGAAATGAATTATTTTTCTTTGATACTTTTGCATTATATCATCCAACTGAAAAAGGAATAGAAGCTGTTGTCGACTTAATGAAAGAGCACGTGGTACAACACTTTTCATCTTTCATCTGACTTTCTAAAAACCTTTCTGAGGTATATTCTTAGTATCAGCTACTTCAGATTTGGGAATCGTATATATACTGTCAACTTCAGGGTATTACTATGGGTAACAGAAATTGTTATCACTGCAGTTGTTTTCATGCACTTCCTTGAATAACAACTTCCAGCACTGTCAATTATTTACCTTTTGCTCAGGTACTTTGATACTACAGCTTTCATAATTTATGAATTCACAAAATCGAAGCATAAAGTTCACCCTTGAAATGTTTACTACTGTTGATAATCTCTTGTTTCTTAAAAGTTAATATTTTCAATAGATACTTCTTTCTTCTCACAGTTATAGCTATCTTGATTGGACTGCCCTCTAATGTGCAAATTTTCACTCACCACTAGCCTTAAAACTCCCACCTAATTCTATGTCTATACCACATAGTTCAGCTGCATTTAAGCATGCAAATTAGCATGCGACAGTCCTCCACCAACAGGAATATGACAAATCCTCCTATAGCAGATGAACCCAATCTTTATTTTGAGATGAGGCACAAAAAAACAACATCAGAAGGGGGGGAGGACAGGTGGAAGTGGGAGGGAGATAAGTATCTATCAGAAATATATTTTCATTTTAGGAAAATATTAACTTCCAATATGATTACTCACCTAGATGAGCACCCTTCAAAAGTGTCTGAAGAGCACCCATGGAGTGAGCCCTTTCTATGGAGGAAATACACACATGGGAGACTGCATTACATCTAAACCAGATATACTCTTCACCCATGTGGAGCCAACAGGTGCGTTGTTGCAACCAAAGGGTGGAACAAGATAAGAATTCCAAATTCCCAAGACGAATGTGTGTGTGGAGTAGCTAGGGCACATCAGACCATAAATGGGAGGTCAACTCCAGTCCCAACTAGTGGCACCGGGAGGAACTCGCCCGGTCCTTGGTAGGAATCAGAAGGAAAGAAGAGCCTTCATTCTGAGAACCTAAGCCACCATGTGTGCAAGTCCAGCACCACCTGCAAAAAAAACCTGCGAATGTACATCCAAACAACATCAGAAAGTTAGAATTGCATTGTTTAGGGTAAATTCCAGTCAAAAACCAATTGGCATTGAGGATGTAACATCCAGTCCATGGTAGGAGGAAGTTCTCAGTCCACTCATGTTGGTTGGTCTAGCTCCCACCAAAAGCAGTCTCCCAGGAACTGACATGTAGGTGGCAGTAGGAGGGAGGGTTCCCAGCTGGAGAAGTGAACTGCAAAAAAGATGGAAAAATCCAGTCCAAACTGGCAGCATCTGGAATAAAACATCAGACCCACAGTAGGAGGATAGTCATGCCTTCTACACAAGCAGAACACCACCACTCTACTCTAGACTGAGTGGAATTGTGCACACTCAGAAGGATTCCTCCATGATCCTCTACCCCAGTGGCCAGGAGCTGGGAAGTGGTAAGGACTCCCAAACTCTGCTGGAAGAAAGAGAAGAAACATGTGGAAAAGTCTGGAGGAATGCATCACAGAGAAAGTGCAATTTGTGACCACGAATCCCTATTTTGAAAAGCAGACCCTTCCCGGCAATCTAATGAATGTTAGAGATGGGCAGCAATCTCTTTCTGCATTACTCATGTTAGTTGATGAGTGTACAGTCCAGTACAATTATATTTATGACACAATATACCACAAGGAAGAACCTGCAAGTGGTCTTGTGGAACATCCCATCTCCACAGTGAGTGTGATAGACCTTATAGATCTCACAGTGTGAATTTTTGATATCAGTATACCTGGTCAGGCATCACTCACCACGGAGCAGGATCCATAACATGTTAAGTAGGCCCCTGAATAAAAAAATAAAATAAAATTACCCACTCAGAGCTGAACCAATGTAAGGAGAATGGCTATAGGGGGAAGACTATATCCAGCTGAGCAGGAACCCACCAGATGGTGCAAGTAGCATGACACCAAGGTGTGGGGAGTGGTCCACATGCCAACCTGGACAATCTCCTACAAATAACAATGGAAATGAGCAGGACAAAGCAAATGAGAGCCACAGAAGGGTAATGTGCACAACACATGAACCAGACACAGGAGACAATCCAGATCAGAGCAGGAGGAAATATGGGATATGGAAGGAAAAGGGGTGAAGGTAAAATCTCCTTCACAGGCAGATGATGTTTGGGAAGGAATGGTTGGGATATAGAAGGACAAAGGTTTTGTGGTACAAAATGTGGTGAACAAGTGATGTGAGCAAGTCTGATTGATGATGTCCACAAAGGAAATACATCCTCAAAGGGAGGAAGGGAAAGGGCATGGAGAACAACATTTAGATTCCAGTCCAGCAATTGAGTTGTATGTGGAGGACAATGGAGATGCATAGACCGAAATAAAAGGAAATAACTGGAGAGGGAAACAAATGGCAAAAATGAAAGGTAGATGACAGGATTGCTCTAAATCCTGCAATGTTTGAAACAGACAGGTCCATGTCAAACAACCATGTAAAAATCGGATATCTGAGTAAGAGAAGGTAAGGCATGTCAGATAGACCAACGATGGAATATTCTCCACACATGTTGATACACAGTTATGAAGGAGAAATGGACAAAGTAAGACAACAGAGACCAGACAAAAGCCACGCATAAAGCTGAAGTGTGGCAATAGAGGCATGAAGCACCTCTGAGTGAGGTTGCCAGAGTAGGGCCTCAGAGAGAGAGAGAGGTAATGGAGGTAGTTCCTGGAGAAGGGACAGAAACCACAGTTGAGCTGCCCAGAAAGGAACTACAAGAAGGACTCAACATGGAGTGTATTGAATGAGAAAAATAACTCGGGCTAGAAGACAGATGGGAGGGTATGTATAAAGGAATAGATCCCTCCTGAACAAAGCCAAAGAATATAGAACTGGGGAATATAGAGAGAAAGTTTGGTATTCAAACGAGTGGCAAATGCATGCAGCTGGGGAATATCCAATTGAGAACCCAGCCATCTGAATACCTGGGGGTCAAGAGATCACTCTGTGGGTAGAATCTTGTCAGGACAGGACAGACAAACCATGAAAAGACTGAGTGTACCCGGTATGTGACAAGCCAGAAAACAAATTTGATGGCTGTGAGTCCAGAAGAGGATATCTAGAGTGCAGGATCATAAGGGCTTGGATAGAGTGCTTCCTTTTCAAATGATGTAAGAGACAAGCATCAAGTTGTCGGACTGAATCATAACTGTCATATCCCACAGAGACAACAGAAATTTAACCATCACTCGAGAAACTTGAGGTGAAGACCTAACTTCTCCTGAGACTAATGGCCCAAGATCTTCCGTGTATTGCAGCATGCACCCCCATCTTGACAATGAGGCATCTGTGAAGTCACGGATATCTGGATGATAAAGAGGAATAGGTACCCCCCACTGTCATGTTGTCCCTGTCTAACCATCAGAGAAAGTTGGACAGAAGGGAAGCAGGAAGGGATATCTGTAAATCCAGAAGGTCCCTGATGAGGTGCCATTGATCTTGTAGTACTCACTGCAAAGAATGCATGTGGGCGTGCCCAGAGGTGTAAGTCCACAAAAGAGACAGTACCTCTTGTGCAGGGAGAGAAGAGAAGGTTAGGCTCAACTGAGATGTGAGTAGGAAAAACACCCCCAGAAGAACAAGATATTGGGTGGGGCAGATAAAAGACTTCTCCACCTAGCTAATCCAACCCACCCAAGCAGCTTCTCAGAAGAGAAGTTGGGTTAGTATGGAAGAGTGTGCAAAGGACAAAGTCAGAAGAAGCCAAATGGAAAGTGAGCCTGTGAAAATGTAGGAATCAGGAAAATAACCAAACCACCCAACAAAAAGAATAGGATGCTGATGCCAGCCCAAAAAGAAAAGCTTAAATGCAGCTGAATCACATGGTATGTACATGGAATTAGGTGGGAGTTTCAAGGCTAGTGGTGAGCAAACATTTGCACACTACAGGGCAGTCAAATTGAGAATAGCTGTAACTGTGAGAGAAGGTAAGTAATCGTATCAGAAGTATCAATTTCTATCAATGACAACGTTATTCATATTAACAAAATAGCTATCTGATACTTCTTAGAAACAACAGTTAAATACATATAATTCTTTCTCAATCATCATCTTTTTAATTTTTACTAAAGACCTTGAATTGCATTTATGTATTGTTATTGTATCAGAATTTTAAGGATTCTTTGATCCATGATTAACAATATAACTCTGTTTATCCAGTTACTTTACTTTAATAATAAACTAAAATCATGCTCCCCAACATTATAACAATGTATACTAACTCAAGGCACATATTTCAGTTTTATTTATATTCCTGATTGTGTGTACACTGCAGGTTCCTAGCAGAAGTTTGAAAACATTTAAAAAAAAATTGTGGAATTATAGGTCATGTTTTTTTTTGTTTGTTTGTTGTTTGTTAATAAAAGTTTTAAGTTCGATTTAACCTTTCATACTTTGATAAACACATACATACCAATTTACTTTTACTAATCATATATGTACAAATTGTAAAAAAAAACAGTAAAAATATACATTAGCTTACCTTAGCTATAAACAGGATATTTTCCTTCCAGTGGGGTTTGAGGGAATCAGCCTTGAATAAAGAAATCACATCTATATTCAAATATATGTTATGGTAAATTTAGAGATTATTAACAAAACATGAACAGATGAAAAGACTAAAGTATAAGATAAGAGTAAAAAAAGTAAGTCCCCATGAAATATAACACACCCATTATTTAAAGAATTATTAAACTCTGTGAAAATGTCTCTTGAGCTTTTGTGTTGAAGTACTGAAATAATCTTTCCCTCTTAAGGAAAAATAAAACTTGCTTATGTTTAATCATTTAATATATTGATTATCTAACATTAAAGGTTCTGGTAATTAGAAAAAAAAGTTTCCAAGAAAAACAAAACAAAATGTGCTGTTTTCAACATAGATGTGTAATCAGTAAATATTACAAACATATATTAATGCACTTCAAAAATAATCACAAAATATATGGTGCCTAACAATTATTTTCAAAATCATAAAATTTATAACTTGGAATATAATGAGTGACAGTGCTACAATATATTTAAATACAAATGCTTCATAATAGCATTAATTATGGTTGAAAATAACACTAACAGCAACAGTACCCAACTGACAAAACAATGTTTCCTAATCATTAAGTAAGAACAGTTTAGTAAATTAGTTATAACCATTGCAGGTTAATTTTTAGTTCTGATCTACATGTATGTGGGTAATTTTCTTTGATAAGAAGTTAACATTAATGATAAGAGTATTTGGATAGTTCTGACTTAAAATCACATAATGGTAATGCTTTATTACATCAGACAAATTGTGCAGCTGCTAAAATCAGAATATGTTTTATTCCAACAACATCTGTCATGGTATGAATGCCATTTATATGCTGGTGAAGCATGATAATAATTTATTACACTTGTCATAAATGTGATATAAGGCCAGCTCAAAAAAATATAATAGGCTTTTTATTAAAGATTTGTTTGTGAATTTACAAATCCTTTAATTGAATCAGAGTGCAAAGTGATTTTCAGGTTAAGAGTAAACATTTTTTTTCATCTAACAGTTTTCAAACTTCATTTGCCTAAGTCTAGAATCTCCTAAATGAATATTAATTTTTTTTTTCAGCAAAACTTTATTTTATCTATTATTTTCTTTATACTAACATTAACTACAGAGAGATTCAATCAATCTAATTGACCTTGTAACCATTATGTATGACACAAATCTTAATTACTCTTTTTTTCTAGAATGAGTGGACATTGTAACAGATAATTACACACTATTTATATTTATAGCCAAAACTAACATTTTTCATACCTCCCAGTAATTTAAGTTTATTTCTTTATAGCTGCACTTAGAGTAGGGTGAAAGCAATTTAGCCAAACAGGGTAGCTTTGAATAAACAAAGTACTGAGTTACCAGTATGCTTGATCAAATTACAACATGGTGTGCTTGCAAGATGTGCATATACTATAGAGTATTTGTTTTATTTAATTTCTTTATCATTTATATTTTCTTTTCTATCTAACACACATTCCTAATTTTTGCAGTTTAGTTACTTTTATAACAATAAATAAAAATCACATTTTGCTAGGGTTGTTGTTTGCATTTGTATGAATTTTTATTTATTTCAAATACGTAATTTATGACACAAAATAATAATATGCACAAAGAATATAATGTTCTTTAATTATTATAATTTAACTACATTTCTAATTAAGCTATATATGGTTAGAATAATTCTGCTGGCTGGTCGAGTCATTCAGCAATAGCAAAGAATGAAAATGTAAGCAGAATATTTCATAAAATGTTGTCAAAATGAACAACCTTATAAGGAATTTGATAAATCAAAATCTTTTTTTTCTATTGGTTATAAATAACCATTAGAAAATTTCAGAGAGAGAATTATTGGCATTTTTTGAAAGACAGGATGTAATAGTAGGGTGTGGATTTATGGTTTATATCTTAGTAAAATAAGAAGATTGGAGGTTATAAATTAAATTATGTCTCAGCAATATCTGTAATTTATGCTAAAGTCAGAAGCTCAAATAGGGGTAGAAAGTATATCTAAAATAGGCAATTGATAGTTAAGAAATGGTATTTAATAGAGAAAAGTGAAGGTTGAGAATTTATTTACATATTTCATTTTGAAATTAAGAAATCAAAACTTAAATAATATACAAATTTGAATTATAAACAACATTCTGATGCCAAGTTTAATGATGTACACTGATAATAAACATGTGCACTTTGACTTAACAGCATTTAGAGAAATAAAGAGCATGGAATCCGTAGGCTTTGGGAGTTCTTAATTTAAGTTATCTTAATAACAACACTACTTATATTTTACTTTTTTAAACAAAAAAGGGCAACTTCAAGAACAAAATAAGTGAATGTTCAAGACAAATTGATTAAATAATGACTTAGTAGCTACTTTATTTCATTACCTTTAGTAGATGCATCCTAGCTACATCCAAGGAAGATTCTGGTAATGCAGCTATCAGTGTGGAGGCAAGTTTTCTTTCCCACCAGGACAGGATAGCAACCTAATTCAGAGGCAGTTCTTAAAAATTGGAATCATACCAGAAGTTAATATTTCATGGAAAAACATCTTTTCAGAAACTGGCTCATTTTGTTTTTAATAACATGATCTAGGAAGCCTCAGGACATTTTTTCATACTTTCTTTGTTGTGAAACCCAGGAAAAATATGTGTTTAAGGTATTACTTAAATCATATACTGAATGCAGCTTGCTTGTCAATATAATTTTACAATATATTTCCACAAATATCGGTGCATCATATTATTCTTGATATTTTTTTTTACAAGTGCTAGTAAGAAAAAGAAGACATTAAAATACTGAATTAAAGATAGTTTTCTTTGACCTTTTTTTTTAGATTACCAACTTATCCCCAAAAGTATAATTTGAAGTAAAACTAGAAGTAGATCAAACTTTTGACATGAAATATTTTCTAAATCCACGTTGAGGAGCTTAAAGCTAGTAAATGTCCACTAAAATTTGACTACATGTGCATGACCAACACTCGTTAAGCCAATCAATTTGACTTAAGCATGAAAAGCCATAAGCAACAATGTACTTAAATTTGGGGACCGCAGGAAAACGATTGTTCATAAGGTACCTTTTTTTATTATTATTGATATGATCTACAAATAAAAAAAGAAGAGAAAAAGCAATGTGACCGTGTTTTCCACTTACATGGTACACATACATAAAGTAAGTAGTATGTGGATTATAATAGACCAATGTGGATTGAAAGATTCCAAGACCCAGGTTGCCCACTTAGGGAAGGGTCATGACTGACTTGTTGGAGGGGTAAAGTTCCATGCCAAATAAGATAACAGGTAACATCTATATATCTATACAGACATACCTCCTCATAAGTCTAAAGCAATAAATCACACTTGACCAATACAGATCATGAGTTATTTACTAACCCCTGTATATACTTATATATCATAGAACAGTTCTCAACAACTCATTGGCTTTGAATATGCAATAAATCAAGAAAAACCTTTCCATGATAGTTAGACAAGTTTTGTTATATTATTTTCCCCTGTACTTTGATGATCAATGTCTACCCAAAGTACTTCTGCTTTTGAACTGGCATTAAACAACATAAAGGCTAGATAGCCATACCAAAGAATAATGCCTTGATGTGGCAGTATGGCTTTAAATTAACCTTGTCTGACTGCTATGGAGAAGTCTCTCCTAATTTATTGTTAACTCAAATCCAATGAGTCAGAAAGAACCTTACCTTGAAATCTAGATACATACAAAGGTTAGTAATCAACTCATGATTCTCATTATCAAGCAGGTTGTCTTGCCTGAGAGTAATGATGAGATATGTCTGGATTTGGTCTATTACCAGAGGAGAAGCAATATATTTACGTAGATGTAAATATTTATGAAAAGTTAATCACTGTCAGAGTTTAACTGATAAAACAATAATATGATTGCAAGATTATAATTATAAAAAATTTGTAAAATATGGATGATGTCTTTCAATACTGCAACATTCTGTCATCTTGTCTGACCTAGGGATTTTACCCTTCAGCCTGTCAATCACAACCATCCTCAAGTGAGCACAGCATCTATCAATCAAAAGTAGTCTATTTTAGCCCAAATTTTACTAAAGTTTCCATATTCACAAGGTTAAGAATATTTGTACCAATTGAATACAATCAATGAGTTGCTTTTGATTTTTTTAGATTTAGTGTTTTTCTGAAATAACCATTAAATATTTTCATTGTTATGGAAGAATTTCCTGATTATTATTCAGCTTTTTTATGCCGATTCTCTTGAATTATTTTACCTGTCAGTTGTATAGGTAAAAAGTTTTAGTAATGTTTTAGTCAATAATACCATTTCCAAAGTAATTACATTTTTATCAAATTATTCTAATTATTACAACTACAGAGTACAATTCCAATTGACAAATTCTCCAAGAAATTAAGAAAATGGTAACCAAAACAAAAGCAAGTGGGAATAAAAAACAGATCTTCCAAAGAAAATTGCATGTATACTGTAGTATACATGTGCATGTGTATATATATTTAGATAGATAATTACATATAAAGTACAATAAATGTAATGTTAACAGTTACAGCATAAGCTTTGCTTAGAAGGGGTTTTAAATTGAGTTTGTTCATATAACATGTAGTTGTTAGAATTGCTCACTCTGACTGATCATAAGTTGTAGCTGAACATATGCCTATGCATTTATTTTTCTTATATAGCAAAATTATTTTGTAATTTATTATTTTCATGTTAATAAGTTCCACAATTATGTTTCAAAATTGTCAGGCAACAGCACACACACACATATACATTTGTTATGTGCTAATCTCAAAAAATATTTCATGATTTGTCCTGTATACAGGATAATATATTATATTTGAAATTTAAGTATGGTACTCAGCTTTTAACTATAAATTTCAACAGATGAATATTCAGCAAAAATTTAGATGAAAAAGTAAGCTTCTAAAGCATAATTTAAGTATTAAAAGGTTGTACATTAGTTTGTTTGAGTGCAAAGCCACACATTGGGCTATCTGTGCTCTTACTACCTCAAAGAATTGTACCCTGGATTTTTAGTTTTGTACATTTATAAACTTACTGCCGACCCACTGGTAGATTTCTTAAAATAATTCACACAATTGCATGAAACATGAAAATTTGTCCAATGTACTTAACAATATTTGATAGAGAGCCAGGTCACTTTACTACTTTTAATCTTTGTTCAGAGAACCAAACTGATATGAAAATTAATTTGAAAAAACAAAAATGTGCATCAAATATATTTCATGCACCATTCTGTCAAAAAATCTTCAAATTATAATACACAAGTATATTAAAAACAAAGTAATAACAATACAAGTATGTGTTATTTCATAATACTTGTTTCTAATAAAAAACTAGTCTGACACCTTTGGTATATTCTTAACAATCTTCTGGTGAGTTAAGAAAAAAAAATTTCATAAATTTCCAATTAAAATAACATCATAAATCACTTGATTTTGATTGATTCAACAGTCTCCAATGAAAACTGACAAGCATAAAAAAATAAGGCTACATATCAGACAAAAGCCAATAGTGAACACAAATCCACATTTTTGAAGTAAATAATTTTTATACTTATATCTACAATATAACACCAACTACAGCTACCTCACAAATGTTTTTCTTTCACCATAGCAAAAACACAGAAAACATTAAAATTCATATGAACTCACCTCATAACACCATCTTCCCAGTAAATAATGGAGGCTTGGATCATCACTATTCAATGAAAGAGCAATGTCGATATGTTTCTTTATTAAAGAAAAAAAAATATTACCATCTTTCAAGACAAGTCAGTAACATTGTTAAGCTTCTACACAAATGATATATTAAGTATCTACACTTCAATGAACAAAATTTTATACAATATTATTAAAAATTGTTAATTTAAAAAGGTGGGAATAGGGATATTCAGAAAATTGCACAAACAAGACGGATAGTTTAAAGTGTAAAATAAATTGCAAAAAAGTAAACAAACAAACTTAAGGTTTCAGACATAGGATTGACATTATCTCTATTTTGACTCCATGTCTAAAAGCTGTAATATTTAGAAGAGTCAAAATATGGAAACATAGCTTGAAGATATAATGCTAAAACTGTGTCTTAAACCTTAAGCTTGTATGTTTACTGTTCTAGCAATTGCATTTTCACTTAAAGCTACCTATCTTGATTCTGTAATTTATGGAAGATCCCTATTCCCCCTTTTAAATTAACAAGTGATAGTGGTACCGCATGTATGATCACTATGATGCTATTCTCGAGTTGCTGCCCTCTAGTGCACAAATTTTCACTTGTCACTTTGAAATTTCCACCTAATTCCACATGTATACCATATAGTTCAACTGTGTTTGAGCATGCACCAATAGGAGTGCAACAAACTCTCCTATCATAGCTGAATGCCTCTATGCAGTTGAAACCAATCTTCACTTTGAGATTAAGCACGAAGATCAACAGTGGGAAGGAAGGGTGGGAGGTATCTATTGGAAATATATTTTCAGTTTAGAAAAATATTAACTTCTGATACAATTACTTACCTTTGCTCGCAGTTGCAGCTAGAATCCCACATTGAACAGGTGGAGGAACCAATGTAAAATTGCCTAGATGAGCATCCTTCAAAAGTGTCTGAAGAGCACCCATGGAGTGAGCCCTTTCTATGGAGAGGAAATACACACATGGGAGACTGCACCACATCTGAACCAGGTATACTCTTCACCCATGTAGAGCCAACAGATGTGTTGTTGCAATCAAAGGGTGGAACAAAGTAACCATTACAAATCCCTAAGGAAGAGGAATGTATGTAGAGTGACTAGGGCATGTCAGGCCATAAACAGGAGATCAACTCCAGTTCAGAGTAGTGGCACCAGGAGAAACTCTACTGGTCCATGGTAGGAGGAACCAGAAGGGAAGAGAAGCCTCTGTTTCGAGAACCTAAACCACCATCTGTGCAAATCCCGCACAACTTGCAACAATAAATCCCTGGGAGTGTACATTTAGACAATATCAGGAAGGTAGAAATGCAACATGAAAGGTCAATTCCAGTCCAAAAATAATCGGCATTGAGAATGTAACATCCAATCTCCAGTAGGAGGAAGTTCCTAGCCTACTTAGATGTAAGGATATATGTTGGCTGGTCCAGCTCCAACCAAAAGCAGTCACCCAGGAACTGACATTCAGGCAAGTAGGAGAGAGGGTTCCCAGCCAGAGGGTCAAATTGCAAAATAGACTGGAAAATCCCATCCAGAATAAAACATCAGACCCATGGCAGGAGTATAGTCACACCTTCTAAACAGGCAGAACACAACCACCCTATTCTCTACGAGTGGAACTGTGCACACTCAGGAGGATTCTTCCATAATCCACAACCCCAATGGCTAGAAGCTGGGAAGTGGTAAGGACTCCTGTACTCCAATGGAAGAAAGGGGGAAGATATGCAATGGAGAGTCTGGAGGAACGCATCACTGGAGAAAGTGCAATGGTGACCACAAAACCCTATTTTGAAAAGCAGACTGTTCCCAATTCAGCAACCTAGTTCAGCAATCTCTTTTTGCTTTATTCATGTTAGTCCAGGAGTATACGATCTGGTATGGATATACTTATGATGCAATATGCAACAAGGAAGAACCTGCAAGCAATCTTGTGGAACACCCCCACCTAAACAGTGAGCATGACAGACCTTATAGATCTCACGATACAGATTTTGGACATCAGAATAATTGGACAGACAACACTCACCACAGAGCAGGATCCATAACATGTAAAGTAGGCCTCTGAAAAAATATGGAGAAATGAAATAACTTGCCCACCCAGAGTTGTACCAATGTATGGAGAACTGCTAAAGGGGGAAAACAATATCTGGCAAGGCAGGAAACTGGCAGATGGTGCAAGTAGTGCAACTCAAAATGTGAGGAGTGGTCCACATGCTGGCCTAAAGGGCAACAGAAATGAGCAGCCAAAAATAGTGTGAGGTGATGGATCTGATGGGACAATACATAGAACAATTGGCATAATTTAGGAGAAAGGCACACGCAATATGGATAACCTGATGAACCCAACCAATAAGGGTGATAGAAGAAATATCATGAGAAATGGACAAATTCCAATGGATAAACAAACGGAAGCAAGAGCCATGGAAAAGATGCTGTGCATTACATCATAAAGCACAGTCTGGACACATGAGATGATCAGGATCAGAGTGGGAATAAATATGGGATAAAGAAAGGAGGGAAATAACTGGAGAGGAAACATATGGCAAAACTGGGAAAAATGAAAGGCAGATGACAGGAGCACCCTATAACCTACAATGGTTGAAAAGGACAGACCCTTGCCAAGCAACCATGTAAAAAATCAGACACCCAAGAATCCATGCTTAATAGACCAAAGACAGAATATTCTGCACTTATGTTAATACACAGACATGGATGAGGTAAGGAATGTGTGAGACAACAAGGATGATACAAGTGTGGATAGTTCTGAACCCCTTGCAAGGGATGGGACAAAAATTATGCATGAAGCCGAAGGGAGGGAACATAGGGATGAAGCACCCACCGAGTGAGGTTGCTGAAGGAGGGACAAAAAGATAGGGAAAGGTAAAGGAGGTTGTTCCTGGAACCACAGTTGATCTGGCCAGAACAGAGTAAGAAGGACCTGACACAGAATGGATTGAATTAAAGAAATCACTCAGGGTAGAAAAAATAAATTGAAGAGTAGGAATATTGAAAAAGGTCCTTCCAATCATGGCTGAACTCTTTCACAGACAAAGCCAAATGATGTGAAACTGAGGACTAAAAGAGAGGGATCTTTATAGGCTTATGAGGCAGCCCCCCCTCAGCTTGCAATGCATATAGAAATTTAGGTAAATTTTCAGTTTTCATTCGGGCAAAATTAGAAGCAGAAAATATAGCCTCATAACCTCATTTGGGCAAAAATTTTACAGCCCCCCCCCCCTCCTGAAAAATCCTCTGTATGCTTATGGGAATCTTGGCATATAAAAGAGTGGCAAATGCATCGAGTTGGGGAGAATCCAATTAAGTGCAGATCCATCAGAATAACTGGGGCTGAGAAACCACTGTCTGGGTAGAATCGTATTAGAATGAGAAATTATCCATGACAAGATTGAGAACACCTGTATGTAACAAGCAGGTAAATGAATTTGATGGCTGTGAGCTCAGAAAAGGAGATCTAGAGTACAGGAACATAAGGACCAGGATCAAGTGTCCCTTAAATGGTGATGTAAGAGATGACCATAGAATTACTGGAATAAAAAATAGTGAACAGTAAGGAGTTCCAAAAGGTTCATGTGAAGACCTAACTCCTCCTAAGACCAATGGCTTGAGATCTCCTGTGTATTGCAGTACACACCCCATCCTGACAACGAAGCATCTGTGAAGATGTGGGAGGAGGAATAAGTACCCTCACTGTCATGTTGTCCCTCTCTAACCACCAGAGGAAGCTGGACTGAAGGAAAGCAGAAAAAGGTATCTGTAAATCCAGAGGGTCCCTGATGAGGTGCCATTGATAAGAGCTTCAAGTGATACCCAAGTTCTCAAAAAAGACAGAACCTCTCAAGCAGAGAGAGAAGGTGCCGATATTACCCTCTGAACTAAAACCTCCATGGATCACAGATGAAGAAGAAAGGGCTGGACGTGACTGAGATGGGAGTTGAAAAAAAACAAACCCAGAAGAACGTGATTTTGAGTGGGGTGGATAATGGACTTCTCCACCTTCATAATCCAACCCACACGAGCTGCTTTTCTGAGGAAAAGTTGGATGTATGAGGAAGATTATGCAAAGGATTGAGCCAGAAGAAGCCAGTCATCCATATATAGCTTGTGAAAAAGTAAGAATCAGGCAAATGACTGGACCATCTAACAGAAAGTGCAGGGTGCCAATACCAGCTTGAAAGGAAAAGCTTGAAATTGATAAATATAATCTTCGTGAACAAAACGTAAATAATGATGTGAAGCCTGAGCTGTATGAATGTGAAGGTAAGCAATTGACACATCGAACCTCATCATCCAAAGTCCTGGAAGAAACGTCCATTTGAGAGACAGGTAGGAATCCATGGTGAACCGAGGCACATCGAGGAAGCGATTCAAATGAGATAGATCAAAAACAGAACACCAATACCCAGTCTTCTTGAGGACAACCCAAAGTTGGGAGTAGAATCCTGAAAGTACAGTAGAAACCTGTACAATGGCACCCTTGATAAGAAGGTCTTAAACTGCTTCTTCTGTGAGATGCTGATGGTAAATGGGATCTTGAGTGGAGGAAGGAATTGAAACAGGGGATAAGGTGAGAGAAAATGGGGAAAGTCTTTCTGACAGAACTCGAATATTGACCCAAAGGTTTACTGAAAGCTGATATGCAAGTGCAGTATGTGGGGGCAGAGCATACTAATTCCTGCAAGTAATAGATCTACAAAACGTTTGGCATGAACCCCAATATCAAATGAAGGGGAACAAAACTCAGAACTAGGTGCTGCAGTTAATAAATAACGGGAGGGATCAAATGACACAGGTGACAAAGACAAATCGCAACATACCTGTGATAGCAAGTCTAAAAAATGGTTACTCAAGCGTAGGTGCTTCAACAGGCTGAGAACGTTCCTGCAGAACAAAGGAAGAGGAGGAAAAAGCTGACCAAGTCCACATCGTCCTGATCTAAATCTTCAGGTAACAGCAGAATTGGTTATTGATTGGGAGATCCCCTGGCCCACAGGAAAGAAACAATCTCCCAAAAAACTACAGTCAACACTTCCTCCACCAATAATGCCGCACTTGCAGCAGTTGTCATGGGCTGTTGAATGCTGGTACTGTCAGTAGCCATTGTAGTCGTGATATTAAATTGTGAATTCATAAATACCCACTGACTACCAGTAATTGAGTGAGAAGTAGAATTCACAATTGAATAAAGAAATCCAACTTCATAGTTGATTATAAACAATACTTTGAAATGCAAAATTCAGTAACTGAATTTTTTAAAATGAACTAAAGAATTAAAACAAAATATTTGAAATCAAGCACTAGGTCTTAACATTGTTGTGCTAAATTGAAAAGTGAAAATTAGATTAAACTGAATAGAAGCTCTCAGGGAGTCGGCTGTGATAGGAGGGTTCTTTGAACTCCTGTTGGTGGAAGACTGTCATATGCTAATTTGCATGCTTGAATGCAGATGAACCATGTGGTATATAAGTGAAATTAGGTGGGAGTTTTAAGGCTAGTGGTGAGCAAAAATTTGCACACTAGGGGGCAGTCAAATTGAGAATAGTTGTAACAGTAAGATGAGGTAAGTAATCGTATCAGAATGTTCCCGTTTTATGTTGATTCTCTTTCTGGCATCTTGTGATACAATTTCTGCAGGTAAGGAAATAAAAAGAGCCATTTAGCTGTTAAACACGGTCATCAAAAGTGTGAGACCAGAGAGTGAGTGAAGTGGCAGATTTGAGGAGAAGAAATGTGATACAGACTGCAAGCATTTCCATCCAAGGAGGAAAAGACAATCTAGATGAGCTGACAAACCCATCTGGTATACATAAGTAATAAGAGATTCCTGGAACAAGAAGGATCCCATGGCAAGAATAAACTATTGTGGGAACTCCAAAATGGAGCCAAACTAAAGGTGATTAGGGCCAGTACAATCATAAAGAGCCAAGATCAATGAGATACAAGAGAAAAGGTACAATCTTCCTCATGAGTCACTCAAATCTTAGGAAGAAGTGAATGGTCAGGGAATAAAATCATGGAAGATCTGTAAAACAAAGTAATGGGAAGCATCCAATGCATAAAGATCAGATCTGCAATGATCACACGTAAAAAGGAAATAGGTTGGAAGAGAGAGATGAAGAGCAAGTGGCCAACAGTTCAAATTAGGCCTAGGTAAGAGCATGTAAAGCCACATCCAGGTTCCTGCTGGGCAAAGGAACTGGAAGAGGGGGATGATGAATTAGAAAGGACTGGAACAAAGTGTAAGAACAGAAAGGAAAAACAGAACAATAGGAAAAAAGGCAAAAAATAATGTAGGAAATAGGAACACAAGTGATAGGTGGCCAAGCATTCCAAAATATTGATGTGGAATATACACTCCACAGGATACCAAACCCCTGAGCCTGTGTAGTCATCTAGAGACTTGTCCCAACCCATAAGAGGTGCTTCAATGAAGAGATAAAACTTTGGACAGGGGACAGCAGTAGAATGCCAACCAAAGGGTGACATGATACAACTGCCAAGACAGATACTTCACAAGAGAAGTTAGCAGCATCACAAGAGAGGGCAGAGGAAAATCAAAGAATTTACACTGGTCACCTAAAGTCCATTGAAGAAGTCTCATGAGAGCCCAGCCTTGAGGGACAAGATGCTCTAGAGACATGAGAGTCTCCAAAAAGAGATACAACTTCTCATGCAGGAAGCATAGGAGAGGTAATAGTTGAGGTAACTAGACACTCTATGTCTCACACATGAATGGAGGAAGGCTGAGCCTGATTGAATTGAGAACTTAAAAAAAAAAGAAAGAAAAAAAGGTGGATGAAATATTGTGTCTGTTAAACTTGACCAGCTAACTCAAATGAGAATGGGGAATGGCAAGGAGCAGTAGAGGGACAAGAAACAGGAAGAGAAAGAGGTTGATGGTTCACTGGGCCAAGGAACAGGAGTGACCTCAGGAGATTTTGAGAGATGAGAAACCAAGGAGGAAAAGGAGACACTGAAAAGGGCCAACTGCATATCTCCAGAAAAACTACTAAGATTACAGTATAAAGTTTCAGACAGGAGATGAAGAGAGGACAGGTCGCTAAGGAAATAAATAAGAAAAAGGTAAAGATAGGAAAACTGAGCATTAAAGAGTGGTACTGATGAAGGGTGTCAGTCTACCAAATGGGGATGAATAACTCTAAGGGTTAGGAATTCAAGAACAGAAAAGGGAAATGGCCATAAGCCATGACAAAGGAAAACTGGAGTCAAGGAGAATGAAGCATTTGAGAGTGGGAATGAAGCTGATCCAGGAACAAGTGAATATGGGCTCATATATCTGGAGAAGGAGGAGAAAAACAAATGTTCCTCAGTGTGAGAGTCATGTAGTAAAGAACAAGAAGAACTAAAAGACATAGGAGAAAGGGAAAGTAAAGAACAAACCTGAGTAATCAAATCCACAAAGAGGTTTGGAGGAGGAACATTGTCCTCAACAGGTAAAGAGGCAAGAAAGGTCTCAAAGAATCCACAAAACAATGCACTATGCCAGTGACATCTTCCACAGTCAATGAGCCTCCAGTGGCCACAGATAAAGTACGGGCAGTATTAATAACATCGTCAGAACCTTGGGAGGTAGTAGTATTCACTACAACTTGAGAATTTATGGTTGCTGTAACAATTCTCCAGATCAATTCATTTTCTGTTATTTAGTGGTGATGCAACCTTAAATTGAAGCTAAAAATTAAAAGGCAGTGCAAATACCACAAACTGATCAAGTTTAAACTTAAAAAACACATCTGTTAAAGACAGTGCTGACAATGAGAATGAAATTAATTTTGAGTGCAAGTGCTTATAGGTATCTTCTGTGCTTGGAGTATGTGTCACCCTCATATTGGTGGAAGGCTGTTGCTCATGAAGATTACATCATGCACTAGTGCAGTTTATGTTATAACATGCATCTTAGGTGGGAGACAGTTATGTTATGCACAAAATCTCAAAGACAGACTTGAGGAATAGCTACTATGTGCAGAGAGATAATCATACTGTTTTGGAAAAACATTAAAAGTGTGCATCGTCAAAGAGATGACTACCTTCTTTAACAACATTGGAAAAGTAAAAAAATAAATAAATTGTACTTAATTCCTTACAGCAGCTTTTAAAATCAATAAATAACCTAAAGAAACCAAAGCAGTATGATTAAGTTCTTCTCTTATGTTTTCAAGTGTTTGTATCAATATATGATAAACTATTGTTGTAGGATATGTCTTTCTTTTTAAACAATACACATTTATATTGTTGTTTTGCCAGAAAGCTTTTACATCATGTAATGAGCATCAGTTAATGACTAGAACATTCTTGAAAGTTTAAAAAAATTTAGCAATACAAAATTGTTAAATAGGGTAAAGTAGATGATTATTAATCTCCAAGTTTGTTACAGATAATTATTGAGTTAGTGACTTTGTTAGTCAGTTAGTTCAGTTTTGTGAATAATGAATTTGGGTTTCAACAAAGTAGAAGAAATATGAGAAAGTGACATACATAGCAGAGGAGTCAGCAAGTAAGTAAAATTATATTAATGTCTATAGTGAACTTTGACCTATTAGTGAACATTTGTAAAGCTTAACCCATTCGCTATGTCTGGTACATATATTTCCTATGGGTTAAACTTCAAGAAATAAAATACTTTTATTATTATTAAGTAGGACTGCACATTGTATTCTTTTTACCGAATAATCAAAATGAAACTGCCAAACAACAGATATGTTACAAAACTTTACTATTAATTATCACACACACACACACACAAAATACAGAAGAACTTTGTTTTAGAACTTCAATTTTTTTATGCTAAAAAAATTTAGATATTGAAACTTACTTTGAATTCGAACCCATTTTGAATTTTCTCTTGAGTACTAACGTAGTCTGACAGATTTCCAAGTGTGATTGCATACCACTTCTGAACATCAGCTATGTTGGGTTCTGCTTCTAATGCTTGCTTTCCATATTCAAAAGCTATAAATTATTAGTGGAAATTAATCATCTTCAAATCATAGCTTATTGTTGGGTACAATTTCTAAATAATATAAATCATTCTTGTATTTGTTTCTATTCTTTTACGAGTCTCTTTCATTGATTTTCTGAAGTGTTGCATGAGTATATTCTTTGTAACCAGCAGAAATGACAGGAGTGTGAAAAGATCTTTCAATTTTTTATAGTAAATTTAAAAAACCTCATGTAATTAAATTAAAACTTGAGAATATTGAAAAAAAATCATCATTTAATATGAGCTGAGTACTAAAGCCACAATTCAATATTTATTAAAATTATAGTACTGCATGTACATTTTATACCAATCGTTTGTGAATTTGAAATAATTAATAAATTTGATGAATCAAAAATCTTCAAATGGTCACTTTCTAAAAGTACCTCCATTTTCAGTTAAAACATATAAATGTTTACAAATATTTTTACATTTGTAAATTTAGTTGTCACTACTATAATCCAAATTTTCTGTTGAAATTGAATAGTATATGTAGTTATGAAACTAATAAAAAATTTCAAAAAATATCAGAAACCACAAACAACTAGATTTAGATCCTAGTGATACACCAACAAGAATAAAATTGGGATTATTTTGATATTCAATAGCATTGACCCAAAATATGATATTGTGCCTTCAATTACTTTGTATTTAACCATTTTAATTTGATTGGTTTGAGGCTTTTTATCATTTTAGGCTAAATTTAAATAATGGTATACTTGATTTCCTCCATTGTTTTAAAACAAAAATAAATGTTTCAGTCTAAATAAAGTCATGTAGCTATATGTTTTTTCTTGTATGTTTTTCCTTATGCTCAAGTTACATGTACTTCAAAAGTTTCTCCGTTCAGCTTTCTCTCCCCAATGTTTCAGTAGTAAGTTCAAAAGCTTATTACCTGCTATGCATACAGTTCAGATAGTACATTGTGCAGCTTTGCACTTTAAAAAAACTGTTCAGTTTAACAATATTCTATGTTTCATTATGTCATGTATCCAACCATTTGGAGTAACAGTAAATAATGAAAAAACACATGTGCAAGCTTTAAAATTAACTTACTCAACAACCTCTGAGGGCATAGGTGCCAATTTTGGGTCCTGGAGAATCCCCAAAAATTACAGATGCAAGTTCTGCTGAGCACCTTGAAGCTGTGCAAAAAAATTATTAAAAAAGAGCATTGCTATCTTCCATTTTCATAAAGAACTAGGATCAGTGGACCTTGAAGTAACTGTAAATGACTTCATCATCAGAAGCACCTTGAGAAGGACCACTTTTGCCACGACACAAATATAAAGATTTTTTTACTACCATCAGATGGGGTGGGGGAGGGGAGTTTTGGCTATTCCTAGCACCCCAATCATTTGGAAAGGTTGATGTTTTTGTATGAGGGTGAAAACAGGTTTGTTAATATATACTAGTAGGTATCCATTGCTCAGAAAAATCTTGGTTAGCTACATATCACAGCCCTTGTAGTGTCTTAGCACACTGCAATATAACTGATAATATAATGTTTAAAAAAAAGCAAAATCTGTTAAGTCAATTGTTAATGAACAGATAACTAATATCTATGCATGATATAACGGTAACATAAATAACTGAAAATACGTGTTAAAGTAATATTTTTCTACACTTTAGCTGTAGTAGCAAAATTGTGCTTTTACGCATTTTAACACATGCATACCCCAAAAAACTAAAAAAATTTACAATTTTTAATTCTGAGCATGTATTATTTTAGATGCCACATCCAAAAATGAAACTAAATGTACTTTAGATGCTGAAATAATAATAGTTTTCTTTTAAATTATTTATATATTAAAAAATTTTTCTGCAATCACATGCACACATTATATCTGAAGTTCATGAAACCTGAAATAAGTAGGAAATTTCAGATTATAGACGTCAACTTACACATATGAGACTTAGTTTTACGTTCATGTACATAACTTACTAATGATAAAAAATACCAAACATTTTATGCATTATTCATGCTTGTATATAGAAAATAAAACCATTAAAACATTATCCTTGTACATCTAAAACTTTCAAATAAAACCTTTAAAACATTACCCTTGTACATCTAAAACTTTCAAATAAAACCATTAAAACATTACCCTTGTACATCTAAAACTTTCAAATAAAACATTTAAAACATTACCCTTGTACATCTAAAACTTTCAAATAAAACCATTAAAACATTA